ACGTGTATTTTTGAAAAAACTATGAATTTCAATTTTTGTATCAAAATAAACTTATCTTTTAAAAATTATTTATTTATTTGAAAGTCAGATTTACACAGAGAGCAGAAAAAACAGAGAGAGACAGAGACAGAGAGAGATCTTCCATCTGCTGGTTCACTCCCCAGATGGCTGCAATGGCCAGAGCTGGGCCAGGCTGAAGCCAGGAGCCAGGAGCTTCTTCCAGGTCTCCCTCATGGGTGGGAGGGGCCCAAACAGTTGGGCCATCTTCCACTGCTTTCCCAGGCTCAGTAGCAGAGAGCTGGATTGGAAGTAGAGCAGCCGGGTCTCAAACTGGCACCCATATGGGATCCTAGCACTGCAAGCCAAAGCTTTACATATGACACCACAATGCCAGCCCTTAAACTTATGTTTTAAATCCATTTTCTACAAACTTTTTGAAGTTCCTTCATATATCCAAAAGATTCTCACAATCTTAGGAGCTGTCCCACATCCAGACACACTGTAGGGAGAAGCATCTGCTAGGCCACAAAAAGGCCAAGATTACTTTATCACTCTTCTTTTTTTTCCAAATGTATCCCCCAATTCAGGCTGGGCTACTACAAAGACAAAATGCCAGGATTTTTCATTTGCATCTTCCATCCACTGGTTCATCCCCCAAATGCCTACAACATCCAGGGTTGAGCCAGGCCAAAACCAGAAGCCCAGAACTCAACCCAAGTCTCCCACATGGTGCCAGGGGCCCAACTTCTTGAGCTGTCACCTGCTGACTCCCAAGGTTTGCATTAGCAGGAAGCTGGAGCCAGAAATGGAGTTGGGGCTCAAACCCAGGCATTTTGATATGGGATGCAGGTGTCCCACACAGCATCTTACCACTGCACCAAACATTCACCCCTCGAGTTATAGTTTTTTTTTTTTTAAGACTTAAGTATTTATTTGAAAGTCAGAGTTACAGAGAGAGAGAAAGAGATTTTTCCATCTGCTGCAAAGGCCAGGGCTGTGCCAGACTGATGTCAGGAGCCAGGAGCTTCTTCCTGGTCTCCCACCAGGAAGACCAGGTATAGGGACCCAAGCACTTGGACCATCTCCACTGCTTTTCCCAGGCCAATAGCAGGGAGCTGGATCAGAAGTGGAGCAGCCGGGACTCAAACCAGCGCCCATATGGAATGCCAGCATTGCAGGTGGCAGCTTTACCCACTATGCCATAACACCAACCCCTCACATTATGGTGTTTCTTTTAAAGATTTATTTATTTGTTTTTATTCAAGAGAGTTACAAACAGAGAGAGGGAGAGACAGAGAGATCTTCCAGACACTAGTTCACTCCCCGGATGGCTGCAGCGGCCAGAGCTGGGCTGATCCAAAGCCAAGAGCTTCATCCTGGTCTTCCACGTGGGTGACAGGGGCCCAAGCACTTTGGCCATCTTCGCTGCTTTTCTCAGGTCACTAGCTGGGAGCTGGATTGGAAGTGGAGTAGCCAGGACTCAAACCAGTTACCCGTATGGGATACTGGTGCCGCAGAGGCTTAGCCCTACACTACAGCAGCACCGGCCCCCTTCACATTATGGTTTTTTATTTTATTTTTTTATTGTTTGACAGGCAGAGTGGACAGAGAGAGAGAGAGAGAGAGAGAGAGGTCTTCCTTATTCCGTTGGTTCACCCCACAATGGCCACTGCAGCTAGCAAGCTGCAGCCGGCGCACCGTGCTGATCCGATGGCAGGAGCCAGGTACTTATCCTGGTCTCCCATGGGGTGCAGGGCCCAAGCACTTGGGCCATCCTCCACTGCACTCCCGGGCCATAGCAGAGAGCTGGACAGGAAGAGGAGCAACCAGGACAGAATCCGGCGCCCTGACTGGGACTAGAACCCAGGGTGCCGGCGCCGCTAGGTGGAGGATTAGCCTATTGAGCTGCGGCGCCAGCCCACATTATGTTTTAAAAGTCTATGTATAAAAATGTTATTTTCTCAGGAGTGTGTATTTAGTCTAGCAGTTAAAACACCCACATCTCACATTATAGGGCCTGGGTCCAATTCCCAGCTCTATTCCTGACTCCAGCTTCCTGCCAACACAGACTCTAAGAGGCAACCGTGAAGGCTCAAATCAGTGGGTGCAGGCTCCCACTGAGAGACCTGAATTGAGTTCCAGGCTCCCTTGCTTCAGCCCCAGCACAGCCCTAGCCATTGCACAAGGCATTTGGGGAGTAAATCAAAAGAGGAGAGCGCTTGATTTCTCACTCCTTTCTCTCTCTCTCTCTCTGCCTCTCAAATAAAAAATTTTTAATTCTTCTATTATTTTCTCTACCATATCTAAGTCTATGAAGAGTATCAATCTCAATTACATTCCTAAGCTCAGTCAAAATCTTGGGGTGATTAATCAAGTCTATTACAACTGAAAATGCACTAATACGTCTGTGGGAAAACTGCTCTTCATGCTGTGGGGGCTCATATTTCTCTATTATTCCACACACTGATATCCTCCAAAATACATGCTTTGTCTTTTCAAGAGTTAACATTTTTTCCCCAAAGTATTTCTCTTCCAAACATATTCTTAGCTCAGTGGCAAAATGTTTTCTCTGTCATTATCTCCTTTGCTGCCCTCTGTTGTCTGCTGAATATACAAACAATTTTCTCTCTGAAGAAAACAGGCCTGAGCTTCTACACAGCTGATATTTTCACTTTTTCCTAAGGCAGTCAGGATTTTTTCTTTTTAAAGACTTATTTATTTGAAAAGCCAGAGTTACAGAGAGAGGGTAAGAGACAGAGAGAGAGAGAGAGGTATTCCAGCCACTGGTTCACTCCCCAGATGGCTACAACAGCCAGGGCTGGGACAGGACGAAGCCAGGAGCCAGGAGCTTCTTCTGGGTTTCCCACATGGGTGCAAGGAACCCAAACACTTGGGCCATCTTCTGCTAATTTCCCCAGGCCATTAGCAGGGAGCTGGATCAGAAGCGGAGCAGCCTGGACAAGAACCAGTGTCCATATGGGATGCTCGCATCGCAGGCAGTGGCTTCACCCACCACACCATGACGCCAGCTCCACATTTTCACTTCTTCTTCTTCGCGCTGCGGCCGGCGCACCGCACTGATCGATGGCAGGAGCCAGGAGCCAGGTGCTTTTCCTGGTCTCCCATGGGGTGCAGGGCCCAAGCACCTGGGCCATCCTCCACTGCACTCCCTGGCCACAGCAGAGGGCTGGCCTGGAAGAGGGGCAACCGGGACAGAATCCGGCACCCCAACCGGGACTAGAACCCGGTGTGCTGGCGCCGCTAGGCGGAGGATTAGCCTAGTGAGCCGCGGCGCCAGCCCACATTTTCACTTCTTAACTACATCACTACATCCCTCCTTTCTTTTTGTGCACTTTAAGATCCTTAGTTCTTTTCCAGAAACATGTAGAGATTTCGCTTCCCTTGTGCCTTTTTAGTGTTTGAATTGCTCAGAAGTTACGAATAAGTAGAAAACAAGCAAATGTAGCCAGATCTCCATATCCCATCTGCCCACTTACCCTCCGTCTGTTCCCCTCCTTATCACTGGCCTTGGAAGGGTCAGCACCAATGCAGGGAAAGGTGGAAATCTGGAGAATCCACGTAAAAGTCCCCCAAATAGCATGACTTTTAATTAGAACACAGGGCTCCTGAATCCCATCAATCAAATCCCATCTTTGGGAGGTGCTTTGTTCACAGTTCCCACTGCATCCTAAGGAAGAGAGCAGGCCTGGTCCAGGGGGCGTGGGCTCTCCTGCCATTCAAATCCCCAGATCCTCTCCCACTTTGTACTCTAGTGTTTAACCTTTCCCGGTAGAAGAAGATCAATATGAATTCTTCATTGTTGAGAATCGATGGCTGTCCTGTGGCATCATTGCCATCTCGTCCTGCTGAGCAGCCCAGTAAATCTCTCCGGCTGCTTCTAAAGCTTGGTTTGTCGTCTTCAGTTGCTTTCATTTTTAATGCAGATCACTTTGGTTTCTGCTCCCCTGGGGGCTTGCAGATAAATCTTGGCAGACATGTTCGGGGTCTAGAAATGAGATGCTGGAAAAAGGCCAGCCCACCCAGAACTTGGTTGTAATGGATGGGACGCCCCCGCTTGGTTCCACTTAAAGACTGGACTGTTCATTTCCGTGTTTAGCGGTGATTGCCTCAAATAGGACCTGGGTGGGGAGTGCCCAGGAGGCCGTTCCTGTGGAACTGAAGAGGCTAGAATGTGAGCTGTGATGCAGAAGCATGCTGGCCAACCCGACCTCTGCCATGGGTGGGCAGCGTTCGGAGACTCGCCCTGATCTTTCCAATATCCAAAGAAGAGAGGCACTGGGTAGTTTAGATGAGCCTCGCTGGGTCAAGTGAGGCTGAAAACCTCTGTGTGCTGCTTGCTTACAAACCAAATGAAAAATTACCTGCCTGATTTTTCTTTTATTAATAAATATATTTAGCACATTGTTGAACAGCACCCTACTAGGGGTGGTCGGTAAATATTTAATGTTAGTTAATGATCTCTGCCTCCCATAGTCCTTTGCTCATGCAGGCTGTACTCACATCTCATTTCGAACTCCCTGAATCTGGGGTTTCCTGGGGATGCCATCAGAATGCTGGTCTGCTTGTGCAGCAAAAATGTATGCTGCTTGGGAAGGACAGATTCTTCTTTATAGGTTTTATGTATTTATTTTCATGTGTTTGAAAGGCAGAGCAACAGGGAGACAGACATAGACAAAGAGAGATCTTCCATCCACTGGCTCACTCCCCAAATGCCCACAAAAGCCAGGGCTGGGCCAGGCCAGGCCACAGCAAGAAGTTTAGAAGGCCATCCAGGTCTCCCATGTGGGTGGCAGGGACCGAACTACTTGAGCCATCATCTGCTGACCTCCAGGGTACACATTAGTAGGAAACTGGATCCGAAGCCAGCTGGATCAAACCAGGCCCTGTGACGTGGGATCACCAAGAGGTGATTTAAGTGCAGCTCCTAATTCCCTCTCCAACAAGTCTTCTTGACTCTGGTTTTTCTTTTCTTTGATTAGTGGACTATGCCAGTTATTACCAAGGCCTATGGGATTGCCATGGTGACCAGCCAGATGAACTGTCCTTTCAACGAGGTGACCTCATCCGCATTTTGAGCAAGGTAAGGACACAGAGGATGGGGCTTGCATCGAAGGCAGATTTTTTTCATTTTTAGTAATATGGTCGGTATAACCACAGTTGTTCCACGTGTGTGTTACATGGTTGTCGTGCACATATGATAAAGTCCCATTTATTTGGAATTGTTAGGGGAATTCTTAAGTGAAAATTCAGAATCAGGAACCAATTTTCAAATTTAAAAAATGCAACAAAGTAGATACTAAAACAACACCAATCAAAATTGATGTTTTTCAGGGACTTGTGGTACTTAAAGTGCATCAATATGTACATAATTTATTATCATATAATGCTATTGAAAACATTCTGGCTAGGTAAGCTGCCTTCTTATTTCATTTATAGATAAACAAGACTGTAACATAATTACACATGGGGGGAGGAGTCAGACCTAGTTAGCTCAATTGGTTTGAGCAAGTGCTGATAAGGCCAAGACAGTGAGTGAATCCAGTCCCACACAAGCCAGCTAACTTTATTCTCTTCCTCAGTCATAAGCTAACCCCTAGCCCAGCCAACCATCCCACAAATAGTATCATTGATAGTAAAGGAATGGCTTTAAAAAATAAAATAGGAATTATTGCCGGTCCATCACTGAATGTGAACATTCAGGACTCATGGGCTCCAGGGGAGGGGTAGGGGACGAGTGGCATCATTTTGTAGGGAAAGACCACACACATTCTATGGGCAGGCTAAGAAAATAGGTTCCCGTACAATAAGAATGTATTTAAAAGTCCTATGCAGTCAGTCAATATCTACAAACACATTTTTTAAATAGGCACAATTTGCTCTTTAATTGCTGAGTGTGAGGATTCCATAAAGGAAAATTGAAAACCCACTACGTTATTAACCCACCATTTACCATTCATCTTTATTCTGCAAATGTTACAGTCTTGGCGCAAGGTTTGTCTGGCTCAGAAACATACCCTAAACTCCTTGGGAAGCAAACCAGGTCTGACCCAAAGTACCTGTCAGTGTTCCAAAAACCCAGGCTCCTTTAAACAGGTCTGATTTCAGATCCAGCCCTTTGCAAGAGAAGAGGGGGCCTGTGGGCCCTGCTGAGTGAGATCACAATCTTCTAATGATTTCTCTCAGATCCCTAACTCTGCGCCGCCCTAGTGCCATTTCGGTATAGCTCCAATACACCAAGAATAAATTGGAAGCAAAGAAGGGAGTGGACATTGGCCTGATTGGTATTTCAAATGCCCGAAAGCAAGGTTTGCCGTGTAATAGAATTTGTGTACATTACCACACTGGCATTACGGGGGTAATCGAGTTATCCACTCAGGTGTGACCAGGCCTCTGTTTGCCCAGAGCCTGCAGGTGAACAAATTAACTGTTTACATTGTCTGGAGGTGCCTGCAGCAGGAGGGGGAAGAACAGAGCCAGACTGTCTGCTGGCCTTTTCTCTCCGTCTTGATGATTTTGTTTGTTTTGCATGTCTTTTGCCTTTGTTAATGGCTTCTCACTGGGGGTCCCTTCCCTCCAGTCAGAAGGGGCTGTGCAGTGACCTGTCCTGCAATACAGAGTTGTCTGTGGTTATCACGGCTGTTGTATTCTTAGGAGATGCCAACGATCATGGGGAGTCAACCCCACCATTTTCTCTCCTCCCTCCATTTCTAAAAGTCTACATAGCAGAGTTTCATTCAGTGAGAATACGTTTGCTGCCATAGTCCTATCAGCTTCTTTCTTCACTCTTCTGGAAGGTTCTGAGTCTATTTTCAGTCCATAAAGCTAATCCCCCTGCATAGCAGAGGAGCAAGTGCGACACTTTCCCTGATAAAGCTCCAGTCCAGTTGCTGTTGGTTTGGGGAGCACTGATGATTGGGTTTACCTTTATATCTTCCTTAACGTACCTGGACAGAAAGGGGCCTTCACAGGTCACCCAGTCCATTCCCTGGCCTCTCAGAAGCACAAAGGAGCCCATCCAGACAGATAGGAAAAAAGATTCCATTACTGTTCCCAGCCTTCTGTCTCTGCAGAGTTGCAGTCTTCCAAGCTCTCTGGAATGTTCTCTCCACATGGATCCTAAATTCATCCTGCTTTAGTCTCAGCTGGCTTCCTCGGCTGGACTCAGCTGCCCTCGGCAGCCTGCCTCCTCTCACACCTGGGTGGACAGAACTGACCTCAGTGGCGCCTCGTCCTGAAAATGGCGTCTGGAAAGTTCCATCTGTCTTTTCTTTCCACCCAGAAGAGCTCCCGTCAGGCAGGGAAGGCCTGCCGTTTAGGAGTCTGAGTGAGACTGTTTTCCTGACGGGTGCAAGGTACAGCCCTGTGCAGCTCGGCTTACCCGGACTCGTCTCCTGCCCCGGACAGTGAGGGAGTGGTACTGTATGCCGTGGAAGGCTCCTTCTACCTCCACCATTCCCACTCTAAATACAAGTAGGCCTGACACTCCAGAGCAGCTAACGCATTTCCACCCAAAAACACGTTCTTTGCTTTAATACTTACTCAGCTTTGTAAAAAAAAAAAAAAAAAAATCCCATTACTGGTTCTTTTGTTGGCCTTGTAAATGATGCATCGGGTTTCCCCTCTCTACGTCTTATAAAAGAAATACTCTGAATATTCCTGTGGTCGGGAAGTGGGAGGAGGAGGCAGGGGAGGAGGAAGATAGCTAGACCGGGACTTCTTCTTCTTTCTTCTTTTCTTTTCCCTGCTGTTTCTTAATAGTCACCCAAGCATGATCCAAACTCAAATTCTAGAATCCTAGGGCCAAACTCAGGAGAATCTTCTAGTCTTGCCTTCGGGCAGGAATGGTACCAGAAAGGGAACTATTAATTCTTTTTTCTTTCTTTCTTTTTTTAAGATCTATTTTATTTATTTGAAATACAGAGTTACAGAAAAAGGTAAGGCCAGAGAGAGAGAAAAAGAGGTCTTCCATCCACTGGCTCATTCCCCAAATGACCACAATGGCCAAAGCTGCACCGATCCAAAGCCAGGAGCCAGGAGCCAGGAGCTTCTTCCGGGTCTCCCACATGGGTGCAGGGACCCAAGGACTTGGGCCATCTTCTACTGCTTTCCCAGGCCACAGCAGAGAGCTGGATGGGAAGTGGAGCAGCCGGGACTCGAATTGGCTCCCATATGGGATGCAGCACTGCAGGCTGGGGCTTTACCCTACTGCACCAAAGTGCCAACCCCACTCTTATAAAAAAATCGCCAGAGAAGACAGTTTGCTGGACAAGAAACGTGCAACCTCCAGTTAACCAAATGCCCATCACATGTCTTCGTCTCAAGAAAATAAGCAACAGGTTATTTACATGGCCCTGGGCAGTATCGCTTAAATTTGTTGATCCTCAGTTTCCTCATCTGTTAGAAAGTGGGATAATCTCTATGCACAGGGCCGCTGTGATTTGTGTAAAAAAGTGCCCGGATGGAGGAGGTGTTTTGCTCAGTGGTAGAGATGCCATGCAGGACCCCTGCATCCCCTATCAGAGTGCCTGGGTTCAGTTCCTGTCTCTGCTCCCAGCTAATGTGAAATCTGGGAGGCAGCAGGTAATGGCTCAAGTGCTTAAGTCCCTGCCATCCACATGGAAGACCTGGACAAAGTCCCAGACTCCTGTCTTTGGCCTGAGCCAGCCCTGGCTATTGTGGGCTGAGCCAGAGGGTGGAATGTCTGTCTGTCTGTCTCTCTCTCTCTGTTGGTCTCTGCCTTTCAAATAAATAATAAAAATTAATTTTTTAAAAGGTGAATTGCAGGCATCATGACCTTAAAAAAAAGTCCCTGGCATCTTAAAAATGGAAACTATTATGGTCCCTTGCTTTCCACTAATAAAGTAAACCTTTTGGATCCGTGTGGAGCATGCACTAGTCAATTACTGGTGAATCGAGAAAGAAGGAAAAGTGGCCCATCTTGCCAAGAACTTGTCACAGAGACGCCCTATAGCGCAAAAGGTGCTCACCTGGAAAAGAGAGCCACCCGGTGAGGAGGCCTACATGGAAATCTACCCAACAGATTCTCCAGAAGTCTCTTCCGGGAGAGGCCGGAGCCGCAGAGCCGCACTCTGAAGCAGTAGCCAACGGCGCAGTGCGCGGCAGAATCCTGCTGCCTGCTGGACAGCGCCTCCACACGTCCGTCCATCCCGGGCCCGGGCGGCTCCATGCCCACTTAATTCACTGAGTTCCAATTTAGATCTTAAAACATATTAAAGGGAGCCTTCAACAACGAAGCCGATCTGAGCATCCGGTGGATGATCCCTGAGCTCCTTTTGGGCCCAGATATTTCTGACTGCTTTTTCTCTAGTGAGGGCCTGAGCCTGCCTTCCTCCCCGGAGCCGGGACACAGCGAAGGCCACAGCGGGGTGCTTAGCGCTCTTCAGTGGCTCCAGATTGTGGGACTGGTGCAGGTCTCCTCAAACGTAACCGATGGCTCCTGAGAGCCCGCCTCTCATAACTTACTCCCCACGATGCCAGCGACCACTGCAGAATTCAAGTTTGAATAGAGCAGGGAAAAGGTGTTTGAAAGGCCTGTTCACTCAGCTGCATTTTAATTTCCTTTTCAATCTTGTCCCAATTAATTTCACAGAATTAATCTCACAGAAGCAAACCCGGCAGCACCAAGGCTGCGGTTTTAGTGTGGCGGTCGCTCTGCCTGAACATGAAATAGGAGCTAATATAAAAATCCATCTGCTGTGTTTGAAATACATGCCGGCTGCTGCTCCGCGCTGTCTGACATTCCAAACATCAACAGCGGGGGAAAGCGATTTGGGGGTTAGTGGCCATCAGTACTTGGCAGGGGTTCAACAACAGGTGTACTCCAAAAATCCATTCAGCCTGGGCACCAGGCGTGACAGGGCAGGTGCAGTAACACTGTGCCCCAGCCTCGTGCCTCTGATCTGAGGAGCCCCAGGTGTTCCATGGCCCAGCATGCTCTGGTCACTCGTTAGGGGTGGGAAGAAGAGAGCTAAGAAGCCTCTATTTGGATAAGACAAGTCCCAAGTCCCAACTTTCAGAGGAGTGACCTGCCCTCCTAGTTCCAGGCTCTCTTACTAGGGAGCATTCTTTCTAAACGTCCTCTATGCCAGATAACCCTTAAAGGCCCACTTAAAAAAATAAGCCTCCTGTTTTCTAGAAGGAGTTTACGATGGTAACATCAGCTATCCAGCCAATGAGCCAAATTCAGGAGCTCTGTCTCGAATGGCTAGAAGGAAGAGACCCTGGATGAGGCCTGTCACCTCAGGTAGACTGAGTCGGGAGACTGCTTCCCTCGGGCTTGGACGTATTCCCCTTGACTCGGCCTTAAACTCCTCTAGGGCCTCGTCCAACACCTTACTTCCATGCAAATCAGCTCTGGAGCAACAGTTGGGCACTGCTTAAGCTGTGTGCCTACTCCCACGCTGTGGCTTAGCCGGCGCAGGAGACGACGGCCATGGCCCACGCACACCAGGCTGGGGCGGTCCTCTCCACTGATGGAAACAGGAGCCTTACAGAGAAGGTCAAGTTTAATGTGAAACGTGCGACGCTGTCAGATGGCCTCGGGCCTCCTAAAGACAAGAATGGACAGACCTTGTCACTGTGGGTTGGAGCTACTCGAACTCAGACTGAATCTTGGTTCCAAACCCAGCTCCCTGGTCCGGTCATGCAGCCCTGTCCTGCCTCCCCCTGGCCGAGGAGCCAGTACCTGCTCCCTGGGACCCTGAACCCCGCTTCTCTCACCTCCACTTGAGAATGTGGACCTTTCCCCTCCGTTGACCCCTTCCTTTCCAAAAGAGATTTGTCTGTTGTAGAAATGATCTGAATGCAGCCGTACTTCCTCTGTTAAGTGCGCTTAGTTGAATGCGACGACAACCCTCATAAAAGCAGAGAAGTTAATTTTTTCAATCGCTTTAAATGAAGGCATTTTTTTCCTTTTTTTTTTTTTTTTAATTTCAGGGCTCTGAGGGAAAGGAGGCGTTTGGTGACATCTAGTGTCCATTCAGGACTTCCTCAGGCACTGTCCCCTCCGCTTGGCTGGGTGGGGGATGGGCAGGGTGATTTGGGAGGTGATTTGGGGGCAGTTAAGTGGGGAGATAGGGGCCTAGGGCAGAGCCTGACCGGACTGTGATGAACCTGACCTGTGCCCATCAAAGACCTGTGATTCACCCCTGACCTAAGCAAAGGGGGTGGGAGAGGGGACACCATCGGCAAAATGATCTTTTCTTATTTATGACGGTGCGAAGGAGGAGCAGAAGCGGTCCCCACACCGCATCGCATGTTAACAAGCAGGTCAACACCGTGCTGTGATGACGAAGGTGATGCTGGTGATGGCGTTTGCTCTCATCAATAACCCCCATGGGAGGCTGCAGACTTGGGAGGATGGGGCTGGGGTTTGGGGTCAGCTGGAAGGCAACGGTCACACACCGGTCAAATTCAGTGGAGGCCATTCCTTTCCCCCAGACAGGAACCAATCGTCTAGAACAAACCCTGGCAGCCTCATTCCTTCCAGGTAATTTTTATAAATGAGGAGACACCCCTTCCAAGAGAGGACAAAAGGGAGAGGGTGTTTGTGTGCGTGTGCAAGTGCACACATGTACACACAAGAGGCCTGCTTGCTTATCAGTCCTATCTGGCCATTTATTTTAAAATCCATTAAAAGAGAGAGAGAAGGAGAGAGAGAGAAGGAGAATAAGATTGGCATTTTCCTCTTTAATTTCTTGTTGCTGGACAGGACTCTTCACTTTCTACACACACACACACACACACACACACACACACTTTGCAGTCAGGTGCAAAGTCCCAGGCCAGATCATTAAGTAGGAAGCCCAGCCAGGAATGTTTACCTAGAACCATGTCAGCCTTGGCAGGGCTAGGTTCATGCTCAGAATCGCCCTGTGCTTCGCAAACTCCAATGTGAAAAAAACTCCAGCCATTTATTTTGCAGGGAATTTATAACAAATGCTGTTAAAGGCTTCGTCTTTTGACAGAGGTAATAATAAATTCACTGTTAAAGACGGTAGTTTAATTCCTTATACCTCCAATACTGCACAGAATAAACCATATTCATCACTGAGTAATTTTTTACCACATAAATCTTTAAAACTAACCGGTGAAGGCTGTTGAGACTGAAATATTGTGAATTTATTAGATATGCCCATGTAGTATTGGATTCAGAGGTTTCCGTTCGAATATATTATGGGGGAAATTTGTGTCTTTAACTGTGGCAGTCCCTCCGTTTCCCGCCGCCTGTATTACAACAGGCAGCTCCTCCAGAGTCAACTGCACGCTTATTAGACAGAGATTTAGTAATAAACTCCTCACTAATCTGCCAACGAGGCTGGCTGACATTTCGGTGAGATGCCCGATTTACAAGGCGTCGCAAAAGCTTTGTTTCTGTGTAATTATTTTCTCAAAAGGAATCCAGCCTTCCCAGACCGTCCCTGCCAGTGCTTCTGGGTACTGCATGGGTTCAGCTCTCCAGCCAAAGTAGCAAAATGCTGACGAAAGCTGGGACCTCACTGGGAACACACGGGGTGGCCACTGCTACACAAGAGACAGCATTAGTTGTGGGGGGTTGGGATAATCGATTAGAACACAGAAAACCTGGGTTTTGCAGACATTCCCAGACATAATGGTATTTAAGGCAATAAAAAGATCATATTGATTCTCAAATTAGAAATAATGGGCGATGGTTTCCGAAAACTTGCCCTTCGCAAACTTTCATCTTGACGTATGACACATTAAAGATACAATTAAATCCTCGGATTTGAACAAAAACCCTTCCGCTCTACCACATTAATTCTGAGTGAAAACCCGCACCTGAGAGGACCCTGGAGCTTCCCTGCGATTTGCTGGTGGAGTGACATTTAAACCAACCCATTGGTTATGTCAAGTTGTCATGCCCGCTCCAGCTTCATTAAGGAAACACTCAGATTTTAATATTTATGAAAACTTTCTTTTCTTTCGGATGCAGAGATTCGGCGGCTTCTCCATCCCCACGAATCTTCTGTATTTGGGAGGAGTTCCAAACACGAAAAACTTCCGTGGGCCATTGTGAACCGTGCCTTTTTAAAAAAAATACAATAAAATAAAATTGGTTTCTAACTGTTCAACAAAGGAGAAAAATCTGGCAATGCAAGACCGCAGCCCATCAGGATAATTGCTCAAAGACAGCACCCGGCTAGAAAGATAAGCGTAATACTAGCAATTAATATTCAGCATTTCGCATTCCAGTCAAGAGGATGCTTCTCTTTGTGATGTGGATCGTGAGCTAAGAGTGTCAGGAGCCAGACTCCAAGCTCCGTCTTCCTCTCTGTGCGGGAGGATTAAGGAGAAAAAAAAAGCCCCGACGACAATCCTGCTCCATCTGTAAATGAACAAACATCTTGATTTTATAGCTATTTGCTTTGTAAAACTGAGGAATGAAACAAAAATTACTGGATGCCTAAGTAACACTTTAATTCTGAATTCATTTACGCTGTAGCTGTGGAGTTGTCACAAACCATAATGCAGTATTTAATTAAAATAACAGAAGTGCATCCAGATATGTCCTGGGGTAGCTATCACCGAATTATAGTCTATGGCATCCGTATTTTATTTATGAAATGGCAGATTCTAAGGTGCAACTAGGCTGATACGAAAGCATAAACATTTTAAACCTGCATTTGTAGAAAGGCTCTGTTTGTTTTTTATTTTTTTTTTCTGCTGCATCTTTAAATTTTTTCTTCCTTCTGTGGTTGGGGAAGGGGGTTCGTGGGGTTGTTTTGCTGTGGATAAAGATCTCTCTTTCTGACTCTTGCTTTTCAACTATTGACCTCCAAAGTCTTCAGGCTGTGAAATCCCTGTCTGTTGTCATGGAAAGGCTCGTGAGAGTCCCGGGAGCCCCGGCGAGCATGGGGCATCTTGGGCGGAACTTGGATGTGGATTTTCGGGGGGGGGGGGGGGGTGCAAACGTTTTCAGGCTCTCTGTGCCTGGTCCTTGCACCTTTGTTCCCACCTACAAATACCCGTTAGGGTTTGCATGCCTGCTTGCTTGCTTGCTCTCTGCTGTGGGTGTTCCCAGGCAGGCATACTGCTCCTTCTCATAAACGTCTAGCATCTATCTTACACGCACCCGCCATCCATCTCCTCGTTCACACGGGCTGTCCCATCCACCTCCTTGTCTGCAGAATTATGTTCAGCAAGGTCCCGATGTATAGGAAATAAATAATGAAAATGGAACGGACTGGGAAAGATAATCGAAACATTCAAATTGTTATTTTTCACTGTACTTTACACAAACAGGGCATCTGTAAACACCTAGAAAAGGTGTTGGCTGGTTCCTTAAAAAAAAAAAAAAAAGTGTCTTCTGGAGCATGCTGACCACATGGGTCTCAATATCCTCTTTTTCCTGTCCTGTCATCTCCCTCCTGCTTTTTGATGCTGCAAGATCTCGCCGTGTAGAAATGGCAAAGGACGCCGGGCTTTTGCTTTCGTTCTCTCTGCTGCTTGTTCACCATGTCTACAACAAGTTTTTGTCATCGCTTAGCCTTAATGAGCTAAGCCTGAGTCTTCTAAAACAGAAACCATAATTCCCATCAATGTTAAGGCAAAAAGCCCTCGCCGAGGCAGTATGGAGGTCCCCTGATGGGGTCTCCTTCCCACCACAGCTCGATCCTATAGCAAGGGCCTCCTGAAGACAGGGTTGCTTCCACACACTTGTAATTATTTTAGCCCCTTTCACAGGTCACGGAAAAAGTCAATTTCAATCGCAGCTAATTTCCATCCAACAAGAGTTCGGTACTTTAAACCGCCCAAAATAATTGGATTCCAAACAAATTTAGGAAATTGAGTGTGTTGGAAAGCAAATAAAAATATCCTTTTGGTAAGGAGGAGGGTGAAAGTAGTAAAAATGGCCTTTTTTCCCCCCTCCCTTCTTTCCCCTTCACAACTTTGCCATTAAAGTTGCACCTACAGCTAGAAGTTTGTCCGTGAAAAATGGTCATTTTGTTTCTCTGCTCAAAGAATGTTATTAAAATGCTAATTTAAAAGAAAAAGGAGTTAAATATCTAGCGATGGTGCATTCTAATTGCAACCATAATGAGCTCTCTAAATGTGCGTGCCCCTGACACACACAGAGCATAAACTGCAGTAAACAGATCATTAGTACCCACGTTCATTTATTCTGGCGACCTCACCATGACCCCACCGAGGGTAGGGTGAAAAGCAGGTGGATCTGGCTGTGACACCCCCTAGAGGGATCCAGGAAATGAAGCTCTAAGCGGTTGTCATGGAAACGCCTATGTGTGCAGATGATGTAACACACCGACAGGCTGTAGGCTCCGCAACTGGGACGTTGCCTTTCCCTCGCCGGAACGATCCTGAGGATTAAATTATTCATTTCTTTAATTCACAAAGCAAAAGGCATCCTAATTTCCTGGGTGATGGGCAACTCTCTTCCATTTGTCTGGGGTCTGCAACATGGTGACTAGTCATCTCTCCCCCCCCCACCAAAAACCCACCCTCGCATCCTACAGCCTTAACCCCAACTCCCCGGATCAGGCACAGTCAGGCAGGGCAAGGCAGCGGAAAGCCGACACCCAACATCTACACCTACAGAGGGGAAGTCTCAGACAGTAAGCTGAAATCAGGGACGGGGCCCTCTCCCGATGAGAACGCGAGAAGCAGGGGCCAGATGCCTGCTTGTCCTGAACAAGGTGGCTTTGTTTAGGGCAGGGCAGGGTCAGGGCTGGCCCTGGGAACTACCAAGCTGGGACTCGGTGCTATGGCCCCAGATGAACACATCACCCCAGCAAGGTGGGAGAAAAGGAGAGGAAGCGAGCATCTGCTCACGCCTCCCACGTCCAATTGAGGGAATCGAGATTAATAAAAATAATTCTTCGGAGAATGATTCCACTCTATCCTACCCTGTTTTGCACCAAACAACCTCAATAACCTTACGGCAACAGTAGAATAACTTTTCTCCTCTTTTTTTTTTTTTTTTTTTTAAAGAAGCAGAAAAGACGATCTCTGGAAATTATTTTAAAATAAAAAATCTCCCGGCCTGAGCCTCCCCCCTGCCCCCCCTCCCCGTTGCACTTCAGATGAACCTGTGATATTGTAGCAATGGCCCTTGAAGTGCGGTGGGGAGGTGATTTAGGAGAATATTAAAGGCAATGTGGAGATTCGAGGCGCCTCTCTCAGGGAGATCTGGAGAAATACGCAGCACAGATGGGCCGAGCAGATTAAACATTTCCGTCACATTGTTTCCAAATTGTGTTGTGGTGCCTGAGGCTGGTACTGCGGTCAGAGCAAAACAGCGCAGTGCAGAGCTGCGAGCTGCGCAGTTTATGGAATCCATATTAACACGCCCGTCTCACATGGTCTCACAATCCTATCAGCTCGGAAATGGTGCTATTGTTCCTGAATCCTGCACTTGGCACCTTGTTTGTGCCCATCTGCAAAGTGTTTACCTTCCCTTTCTCCTTTCTCTCTTCCTTAGGTAGAGTTCAAGTTGTTTGCTGCCTCCTTGACTATCTTGCCCCCCACCCTTCCCTTCACAGCGCGTGTCTTCTCTGTCCCCAGGCCTGTGTGCCCGCTCTGTGTTTTGTTCACACTGCCATCACCGACACCGTCCAGTGCATGCATGGACTCTGCACCACCACCTTGGTCAGTGTGTGAGCTTCAGACCCAAGGCTGTCCATGACCTTGTCCTCCAAGGCCTGGGGACTCTCCATGTGGAGAGCAGCCTTCTCCCCAGGCTTAGGCGGTGGGGTGCGCTTTGTAGAGTCAGCGCCCTGAGCCCCTCATCCGCTTCGGCTGACCACCCCGGCCTTTCCCCGTCCCCTTCCTTGCACTCGGGTCTGTTCCCCCCAGCATCCAGGCCTATCCATCTCTGAGGTTAGCAAGTACCCTGAAATTTCACAATAAATAAAACTGGCTCAATTGAGGCAAATTTAATGATTCATTTTTATTATGATTTATAGACCAAAACTCTGAATAATGGAAAAAGAGAAAAGGATTGCCAAGAACTTAAAACACAGTGCAAACCAGCCCGGAGAAGCTGCCAAGCGGCCCGGGGTCACAGCCAAGCGCCGAGCGCGGATCCTCTCACAGGCTCCAGCGCCACTAACCCACCAGCCACCCAACTGCTGTCTCCTTAGAAAAACCTCAAAATATGGCCGGCGCCGCGGCTCACTAGGCTAATCCTCCGCCTAGCGGCGCCGGCACACCGGGTTCTAGTCCCGGTCGGGGCGCCGGATTCTGTCCCGGTTGCCCCTCTTCCAGGCCAGCCCTCTGCTGTGGCCAGGGAGTGCAGTGGAGGATGGCCCAGGTGCTTGGGCCCTGCACCCCATGGGAGACCAGGAAAAGCGCCTGGCTCCTGGCTCCTGCCATCAGATCAGCGCGGTGCGCCGGTCGCAGCGCGCCGGCCGTGGCGGCCATTGGAGGGTGAACCAACGGCAAAAGGAAGACCTTTCTCTCTGTCTCTCTCTCTCACTGTCCACTCTGCCTGTCAAAAAAAAAAAATAAATAAATAAAAATAAAAATAAAAAAAAAATAAAAAAAATAAAAAAAAAGAAAAACCTCAAAATAAAACTGCCTGTCCTGACAGGGGCACCTGTTTGTCTTTGGTGAGCAATTCCCACGCTCAGCCTCGTTTTTCAGTTGGAAGGGCGCTGAGTTGGAGCCCTCAGTTTATTTAATAATTTATATCCTGAGAAAGCACAAAATGTCCAAAACTGGATTTAAGAGTAGAGGACTTGTGAGCCCATCTAGAGTAAAAATATAATGTTCTTTGGCTGATCCTGGAGTATTGCAAAGCTACTCTGCTTAGGAATTAAAATCCCCACCTCCCACCCCCATTTACTAATGATAATGTATGAGGCACAAGCACTAATAAGATAAATAAGCAATCATAAACCAATAATTCTGTGATTGATTGGCTTTTTCCCATTCATATATCAAGCTTTTATTGATCATTCACGTTAGGGACTGATTGATTGTTCTCTTGAAGAGGAATTCGCTGGTTTCCAAGCACTCAGGTGGCTGAAGGAACCAACGTGTGAGCCGTCCTCTGGGAACCTTGTTCCTTGGAAGCCCATGGCCCCTCCTGATGTTTCTATCAGGAATGTTCTCAGGCGACGTTGGATTTGGATGGAAGCTATGAGAGGCCACCACAACTTCTAAGTCACAGCTTAAAGCGGTGGTGCCTTAGAGGGGACAGTCAAGTTCGGTCAGCCTTTGGAGAAGGAGGGGACCCCACCACCCGAGGGCTGAAGCCTAGGAGAGCCGGCGGAATGAGGGTCCTTGATTCTTTCAGTGTATTTTTTTAAAGGGGTGCTGAGGGTGTGGCCACACTGGGCCGAAGTGCAGCCAGGTCCAGGCCAGAAAGACCGCTGCGTTTGCCCCCTGCAGTGCTGGTTCATAAGCAGCAGAGAGCTCTTCGACCTTAGGGAACCTGACCAAAAGTCTCAGGGACAAGGCTCGTGTGTGCAGGCGCAGCAAACTGACACTGGCACTGGGGCGTCGAGGACCGTTTCCCAGCCACCTGCACACAGGCCAGAGGTCCAGACTCCAGGTTTCAAGAATCTGTGCCCTACAGGGTGGTGAGTTCCTTTTGTTGGAACAGCCTAGGATTCACTGAGCCTAGAAATTGAATTCTCATCCCAAGACGGGCTGGTCATTCCAGGTCATGTCTGTGCTACTCCAGGGGAGCCGTGGAAGAGCTTATACAAATAGGAACCAGCAGGGAGGAGAGAAATTAAAATGCAGCAATCATGGAGTAGGGGTATTTAATCTCTTTTAAGGCTTATGATGGGCGCCTGCTGCTCTCCCCCCAGACCCCC